TTTATTTGTAACGATATAGTATTAATTAAAAGTGAATAAATACGAATGGTGTTTTTTTTGTAAAAACAATACGAGTGAAGTTGGGTGGTCCAAAGTTGGCATATGATAAACAGTGAAGCGCGCATGTACATGTGCATGCATGCGAGATTACATAATTTATAGAACCCCAATTATTCCAAATTGAGAAAGATGATAATAATACGACACTAATTTTTTTTTATCATATTATTGTCGGAACCAACGTAAAATCAAACACAGAGAAATTGTAATTAGGTAAAAGAATGTTCCATGGGGAACCTTAAAAAAGGACTTGAGTTAAATTAATTATAATTTAATCATACAAACAATCCTTTATATTATTTAAATTAAACTTGTGTTTTGTATAGATGTATTTAAAGCTCTTTTTCGCTAGAAAAATTAGAGTATTGATGTCCCCAAAAAAAATAGTAGAGTAACGATGTTTACAAATTTTGCATCAAAAAACGATCAAAATTCTTATATTTCAAATCACAACTTAAAATTCACATTTAACAACAACAAAAACGTACAGTTCTACGATCTAATTGCAGCCAGATCAATCGTCTATGTATAATACTTCCGGGGAAGTTTCATATTCAACTACCACTTACAGCAAGATCAATTGTCTATAACATTTAGGCCCTAACCACCACACTCGAAGCAGTAATTATTGACTCTCCCCTTGCAAGTTTTACCAACGACCACACTATTATTTTTTGTCTCTTTGGTCTACCGTTGATCTTTCTTGGTCCAAATATTACCGTTGACTCTTTCATTGTCCCATACATATGTAATACCTGATCTGTTCACCGAAAGTGAACTAAACGTTAATATTTAAGGTATTCAGATTTTGAGTATCCTCATCAAATTCGATTATTTTTGTCTATCTACATCCGATCTGAATTAGTAAGCAATAATTTATTTTTTTCAAAAATGGTTTTAATTATTAAACAATAGTTTTGATTTTGTTTTTTGCTGGGGGTCATATATTTCTTAATTAAAAAAATCGAAAGTAAAAAACTTGTTTACAATCATCTTAAGTTTACAAAATTAAGAAGGTATACAAAATAGTTTTATAGGGAGTTCAAAAGTTGGTCGGAGAGATAAATAGAATGTCTCGGCTGATATAAATAGAATTGTTTCAAAGATATTTGATATCAAACCCGAAGTGTGCTCAGTGAAATGCTTTTAATCACTGGTTTTCTTAGGTCGAATGAACAAAAATCCTCCAATCTCGTTTTTCGAAAGGAAACATTACATGACGCCTTAATGCTCAAATTTTCGAGGATATAAAGATTCTAAGAAAGTACTCGTGCACATTGCAGCAGAAGTGGTCAGGAATTAAATATCTACAGAAAGGCCAACCTTTAATTAGTTTTCGCAAGCACACCTTCCAATCAAATAAGCAAGGCCTGAAAATAGTGCTCTTGGTGTCCATATCATTTCCAACACTAGACCCGATCCACGCATAACTAAAGCTAAAAGGTTAAATTAACATCTAAAACACACATTTTGCTTAATAGTGAACAAGGTGGAAGCATATATGTAATATGCATATGGCTTGTAAGACGTTTGTAAAACGCTATTGAATCTTGAAACAAATGTTTTATTTTTCTAATATCCAATACTCTTTCCATTTCATATGAAAAACTATAGTACATTTTATACGGATTAAGGAACTTTTTCAAAAATGCATTATGCTTCTATTTAATATATACCACTAAGAAGTGATAAGAAATTGTAAAACAATGGAGGGAGTATCCGAGTATGTATTAACTTCGGTTTGTATAGTTTTAGTTATTATCTGAATAGTGAGATTAGGATTGTGGTAATAACGTGCTATAAGTTATACTCTGGAGTCTGGACAGTAAAGAGGGAGAAGTTGATTAAGAAAAGGGACTATGCATAGTTATATACCTCAGTAAAAAATAATGAAATGGATTTATGATTGGAATATGAATAGTGATAACTGTGGTAATACAGAAATTACTTTCACTGTCACTGTCACTGTTGTCTGGAAAAATAAACTCTGCCAAAGAGGAAATAAAGGAGAGAACAAATTGGGTAACAGTTGCCATACCTCTGTTTCTCACTCCCTCTTCAGGATAATACACACACTTATATATCTTACATATATACAAATATTGTAGAAGGCAAAATACTGACTCAGCCGCAATTCTTTATATTTGACTTCATCGGTGGTCCATATATGTAATTATTTATTTATATATTTTTTCAACCATATGTAAAAATACTGAAACATACAGATGAATTAATTCATTACATAATTCATTACACCATAGATATAAATCACTCAGGATACCCATATATAGACTTATGAAAGAGTAAACCTAGTTTAGAGTCACTACAAAAAATGTTAATATTGTTATAAAAAATTATAACTAATTCTTTTGTCACAATATTGTGATGATTTATATATAAATATATGACAAAATTAATTTGTCATAAAAACGTTATTATTTTGTCATATTATGACTGAATCATAGGTAACAAATTGTTGTTACTAATCGTGTTGTAATTGCTACAAAATATATAGTAACAAATATTGTTACAGATTTATAATTAAATTTATGACTAAATTTAGTAACTATGCTATACGATTTTTGTGACTCAACTTACAGTTACAAATATTTTGTAAATATATTATCACAATTAGACACTTTTTGATTAACATATACATTTAGTCATAATTATTATTATTTTGTGACAAGAATTAAAACTACATGTAAAGAAAAAAAGAATAGTTTCATTTGTGGAAAAAATACATAATAATTGAAAAAATAGAAATGATATATATAATTTTTAAAATATTATTCAGATTTATCATAAAATAATTTAATATATGAATTTTCATCTTCAACATCTGATTCAATTCTGCTACTACTCTGGATCATCAAGACCTTGTAACAATATTTACTTTTTTTTTGTAGTGAGTAAGATCAGAACCGAGAGATAGAAATCGAGTTTTAATTATGAGCAACAAGAAATTTAACATTTTTTCCGACGAATATAGCCGAATAGTAGCTAGTTATTTACCACTTGAATAGTCAGTGTGTGAAAATGAAATTAAAAATGGCCGTATTGAATTATTTGACAATGAAAGGAGAGAGAGAAGCGGAGAGTTGAATTTGAAAGAAACCTCGAATTTGGACTATTTCTGCGTATATATCTCCACTATTGCTACCAGACACATTTTCACCATACCTTCTCCTTTAGTCTGGTGATGTCATAATATATCAATCTTTTTCATATACAACACTCTTTTTGTAATTTACATAAGTATTACCACAATTCGAATTCTGCATGCATTAATAGCAAATGAAAGAGGCTGTCTCTCGTCAAATAAAGCTCAAACTCTTATTTCAGTGCATGTGTAGTCGCTCTACATTTTCTTTAACGGCATCAATTAGATCGATCGATTTCATACCACGGTGTAATTCTCCTTTCCACTGCTTTCATTTATGTCATTCTATTTATTTTCCTTTCTCCGTTATTTTTGTTTCCTTAAACCTTTGTACGTACTATCATAATATAGAATATCATTTCTTATTAGATTAGACTTTTTAGCCAAAAAAACAAAAAAGATCCTGGACTTAGCCATGGACTAATAGGTGATGATCGATCATATTTTACTGGATAGGTTTGTGTATGGGATAATATTGGCCCTGTTCAGTAGTGAGTCGCTGCAATATATAGCAGCAAGGGACCGAAAATAGCATCCACTTTCATGTTTATCGCCGTACGTACAATGTTACATTGTCATTTGTCAGTATGAAACAAGCGAATGACAAAACTGAAGAAGTAATAGAAAACTAGTTTTAGCAACCCAAAAAAAAAAAAACAGAATAATATTCGATGACGGCTTAAAATATTACGATAACTAGTTATATTGTTAGAACGATATATTTCTAAAATCTCAGCATCGTTCGATATTTTCTTCTTATGCATGTGTTTATCTTTCTGTTTTTTAAATCTTATTTTGGTAAACAAAAAATCTATATGCGTTTAACAAGCAGATATATATGACAAATAAACTACTCTCTTATAAAACAACCGAAACGATGAAAGTGATCACAATACAACGTTGTCATCTTTAGTTAGTATCATTTCTATTACCACATCTATATATATAGAGCAAATACTCTTATTAATTTACTTATATTTTTGTTAAATTACTTTTAAAATGTTGAAACTGTTAAAATTGTATGAATGAAAAACATTTTTTGAACTTACCGGAGCACTCTCTTGCCAGTAAATAAAAATAATAAAACTTTCCAAATATATATCAAAAGAGAGCGGTAGAGCATTTGCATCATATGAGTAGATTAAAAAAAAAGAATCCAATATTTAAATGAGCATTTGTTGATCTTCATGTAGATAGGGTCCCACTGTACTTGCAGACAAAGGCTTTTAACAGAAGACTAGTGTCATATGGATTCTCTTCTCATAACTCCCAAAATACCCTCCTCCTCTCTCTTTATTTTCTTTCATATTGAAAAATCCTCTCCCCAAAAAAGAAAGAAAAATTCTCAAACCTCCAAATTTCTGCATAATCCTCGTTATTTTTGTCCATTTTAGAATCAGTCAAAATAAAATCTTTTGTCGTATAAGACCCTTTTTGTTTTGTTGGAAAATTATCTTCCACCATTTATATCATTCTAAATATAGTATTATTAGCATGTTTTGCAGAGGATAAAGTTTCAGAATTCGTTACATATTTGTTTACACACAAAACAAATAACAAAAAAATTGATCCCCAAATTTTTCATTTGCCAACATCTTTTGTTGAGTACAAGGACTCTTTAGTCAATTACTGCCAAGTGCCAACCATCCAAACAGAGCCATTTACGGCAAAGTTTAATAGAAAAAAAAACATTTATATTATGCCAAAATAGGAAAGAAGAAAATACACACTAAAAGTTATGTGTCTCATATGCAAAAAAATAAAAACTCTCACAATTCCCATTTTAACCCAAAAACGAGATGTGTAGAAAGAGCAGAGTATTTATATCACCCACGAGCCTCTATGCTTCTTCCTCCTTCTTCATCGCCCATCTCTCTATTTCTGTTTTCTTTCCGGAGACATTTGTCTGATCTCACCATCATCAATCAAGATTACTCAAACAAAACCTTGAGAAAGACAGAAAAAAAATGATCCAAGAGAAGAAACACCAAATACTAGTAGTGTCTTCTCACTGAAAATCATAATATTTAAAGTTTAATGGTCAGATCAAAGAAGCAAGAACCACGCGTCTCTGCTACTTACATCCGATCTCTCGTGAAGCAACAGCTTGCTTCTTCCACCATGACTACAACCACCACAACCACAGATAACAGCGGCGGCAAAACGCAACCGCAAACGCAGGCGCACAAGAAACAAGTGAGAAGACGACTTCACACTAGCCGTCCTTACCAAGAGCGTCTTCTCAACATGGCCGAAGCTCGTCGTGAAATCGTCACCGCCTTAAAACAGCATCGTGCTTCCATGAGACAAGCCGCCATGATTCCACCGCCTCCACCGCCGCCACCTCCACCGCAGAATCTTTTTTCTCCGCCGCCGCCTCCTCCTCCGGATCCATTTTCTTGGTTGAATCCGCATCTCAATTTCCTCCTCCCGAACCAACCCTTAGGGCTAAACCTCAACTTCCACGATTTCAACGACTTCATCCAAACCTCGTCAACATCTTCATCATCATCATCTTCGTCGAGTTCATCATCTTCATCGGTGTTTCCGACGAATCCCCATCTCTACTCATCCCCTTCACCACCTCCTCCTCCCACGTTCCCCGCCACATCCGATTCGGTGCTTCAGCCGCCGAAACAGCTTACGGAATCGGAGAACAACGTGGAGACGTCAGCTTGGTGGTCAGAGCTCATGATGAAGACGGTGGAGCCGGAGATAATAAAGTCGGAGGAAGAAGCCGCCGTAGTCGAAGATGACGTCTTTCCCAAGTTTAGTGACGTCATGGAATTCCCTTCGTGGTTAAACCAAACCGATGAAGAATTATTTCATCCTTACAATCTCACTCATTACTCCTCCCCTCACAATCCTCCATTGTCCTGGTAATTGATCTATTTTTATTCTCTTTTAAATTCAGTTTATAAGATTTAAAACTACTCGAACAAGATTTTTCGATCAGTGTTCTTCCTCCGTAATCACCGGCGGCGAAAATTGCGGTGGTTCTGCGTAAACTTCAGTGATCATTGAGTTTGAGACAGAACACACAGCAGAAACGTTTTTTTCCTTTTCTTTTTTTTTTTAAAAAGAAAAATCAGTTTTGGTAATTAAAAATGGGACTAAGAAGTGATTAAAAAATAGGAAGAAGAGGAGTGAAATTTGTGGATTGAGAAGGATCCACATCGGTTTATTGCATGATCTGAAGCTGTCCTCTATTTTTTTTGGTCCAATGATAATATCGCCGACATCTATAAAACACTATCCTTGCCTCATTTTCCTGAACCTGTCCCAAAACGGTCTTGACGTCATCCCATAATTATATTTTATATTTTCTTGTGTAATCATTGCTTGTAATTATTTAGCTTTGGTTTTGCTAGGTATATTATAACTTATTTTCTTTAGTGTTCTTTGATAATTATTTTACAGTATGGAGATTGGAGAAATTGAAGGCATGGATGACGACGACTGGCTTGCTTGAACCACAAAGATTGATTACTGCTGTTTTTTTTTTTCAGACATGATGAATCAACTCTTTGGTTCTTTTCTTATTTTTCTTATTTATTTGTTTTATTTCTAATTTTTCTTTTTGTTTGGAGACATAAGAGGACATTTTGAATGAATCTTTAAAATAACAACAAGCCTGCGGTGAGCAAAGAAATGTTCGATTTGGAATAGTCACATGAATGAAATAAACTTTTTTTCCTCTCCTTCTAATCTTTCTTTAGCCTTATTAGTAACCTTCATTTGTTTTTGATTAACTTATTAGTTATTACACTTTAGCTACGTAGATTTGAGAATGGAGTTTATTGTTTTCATTGTCAACTTCAACATTATTGTAAACGGACCAGTTTCAGTCCACATAGTCGGTACTGTGTCCAATTTAGACTTTCATCTCTTCTGCAGTATTTGAGATTTGTTTGAATAGAAAAAAAAAAGCATAAATATAGAAATGAGTCAGGTTTACATAAGACTATAAGAGAAAAGAAGAAAGTTTCAAATTTCCATATATCAGATTCTAGCTGAACAGGCTAATGTCTAAACTTTGCTATTCTCTTCATATGCATCATTCACTTTATCAACGTCCATCTCATCACCATCTTCATCGAATCCAACACTTAAATCCTCATCTCCCGAATCACTCTCCAGCAATTCTCTCTCTTCCATGTCCAAAGTATCACTATAAGTTATAATATCTCTCTTCCTTCCTCTGTATCCCGTAAACCTCAGCAACTTCTCTTTCCAAAGTATCAAAGGACACTTCTCGATCAGTTCCGCCCCTTCGTAAGCTTCTGTCAAGAACACACTGAATCTCTTCCCTCTCTCAGAGACATAGAAGATACCACAATGCTTCAAGAAAATCCTCATCAGCTTCTGCGGCATCACAAACTCTCTCCTGAAATGGGTCAGATGATCCGTCACCAATCTCTTCTCGAGTGTAAAGCTAAGCACTTCGTGCATAACAGCGATTGCCCGCTTGTCAAACTCCTTTGAACCAGCTTCGAGGCCACGTGCATCGGCATAAGGAGACAGGTAAGATCGTTTCTGAAAATGTTCGATCTTCCCTCTGTATCTGTACATTTTCTTGTATGACGGAGGAAACTTCATGGGGAAAGCCAGTGAAAGCATACCTGGCTTGTGATTGTTCTCCTCAGTTATACCTAGAGTCTTCTTCTCCAACTCTGTGATAGCCCAAGCTGGATTCCATGAAACAAGCTCAAGATACTCTTCTCCATCCTCAAGCTTCACGACTTTAAAATGCTGAGGAAACTTGTGGACCCAGTTTATCCTGAAATCAAGAGGCATTCCGAAATCCCTCCGGAAATGAGCAATCTTATCCAGTGGAAGCTTCTTATCAACAGACATCATCAAACACCTCGTCACATGTTCAGCAGCCTTGTCTCCGTTCTCCTCGAGCAACCGATCATGCTCCTCCAGCAGATCCTCTGCTTCCTTTGTCACTCCACACCACAAGACTCCTCTCTGATCCTTGTACAACTCGAACAGCTTTGGAGACTTTCTGATGAAATCGCTGATCTTGTGTGGTTTAGGCAAATTGATCTGACGCCTGTACTGCTCCAAGGACCTGACGGTCATTATCATCTCTGGCTCACTCTTCAACACCTCCATCAAGAAAATCACTTTGGAAGCTATTTTCCATTTCTCTGTGGCTACCTCGAGCTCCCGGATTCTCTTTTCCCTGCTCCTATCTTGAACACGCTTACTGCTGGTCATGAACCTGACCCATACCCGCCCGAAAGCGGATTCTCTGGATAAAACGTTTCTTTGAGGCATTGCCACAAACATGTTGTGGGCATTCCCGTAGAATCGCAGCAGACATTGTAGCCTTCCCATTAAAAACCTCAGCTTTGAGCACCTGAACAACCGTTTAGAGTCAAAAGTTACAGAAAAGTGCCAGAAACATGATACAACAGAATAGCAAGTCCAGGGGAAATCAATTCCTATGGATCGATGATCACGATCAACTAAGAAACTAGTTTCATAGACGATGCGTGATACAAAATGTGCAAAATCATTAATACCTTAAACTATACGGCGGAGAAATAGCAGAGCTTGACGGTACGGCGGTGAGGAGAAAGACGGGCGAGAAGCCATGCGACGGCGGTTCGACGGCGACGAGAAAATAAGGCATAGTCTGGTGTTTTGTGTCTTCTTCTTCTTCTTGTATATGGGCCTAATAAAGCCCATTAAGTTCTCTTATGGGCTTCGTGGTATCCAGTAACTAAAACATTTAGACTGGTTATTCTAAAATGTTTTGTCTTTATGTGTAATGTGATGTCATGTCCGAGAGATATAATTTGAGAAACAACAAAACGTTCTGTGCTGTTGCTCCTCGTCAATGTCATTCACCGTTTACACGATCAACAGTGAAATGGATTGGTCGTTGTATTTCATTTTCTTCAATATCTTGATTTTTATTGTTAGTATCCAATATTTAACAATTAAATTTAAAGCAACCCAAATCCAACATTGTTAGTAATAAATAAAATCAGCTCCTAATTAAAGCAATTAACACTACAGTTAGATATAATGTAGATCCAGCGCAGAAGGGTCAGGGAAGAACCCAAATTCCTTCACAAATGTAGCTTTCATGAAACGTGACAAAATAATATGATAGAATGTTGACCAAACACATGTCTATCTATTTAAATATAATGATTTAGTTAAAGTGATTTATTATATGGCAAAGGGACTCTAAATGTACCAACCTATCCACTTAAAAATTCCATGTCTTTCACTTTATATTCTTTACCTTTGCGTATGCAGGAAAATTTAATTATATAAAATACGGTTACCGATTATACTGACACGGTAACACCATTTTAAAACCATTTAAATTTTAATTGCTGTTGTTTAGGTATCTCTTTCTGATTGTTTTGCAGTATTCATTTTGATCAAATCCTAATTTACGCATCAGATATGTCCATTTAAAATCATGTCGGTGCTCATAAAATCCTAGTAAAATAATACTACGTGTTTATTATTCCCTCTGTTTCATAATAAATATCATTTAAAGAAAATGTATTTGCATTGTAATTGGATGTATTTGAATGTATTTTGAATTTAATACATTCAAACACATTTTATCCAAATAACACTTATTATAAAATATTATGTTTAGGTGTTTTTATGACACTTTTTAATACAAAATTTTAACCAATCAAAAGCAAAATTTATGCCAATACGGTGGCTGCCTGCCTGACTCCCCGAGATGTCAGTACGGTATCGTGATATTAAACAATTAATGTACAGTGTAGATTGACTTATATATATTTCATATATGTCTCGTGAGACTAAACGAAAAAAGTTCAAATTAAAGTGAAGAAAGAAACTAAAATAGAAAATGCATTTGTAACATACACTACTTGGCTTACCTTGGGTGCTACAAAGAAAAACAATTTAAAATAAGTTTTAAAGATAACGAGTTCGAATATTACAACGGCAATAAAAAAAAGAGCTGAGGTCTCTTTTGAATGGATTTATTAGTTTTGTTTTATAAGAGTTTTTGGTTCTCTTTTATCCTAAAATCTAGGAAAGTTCTTTTCCATTTAAAGTTTTTTCTCTTTACAATTCCGTTTTTTAGTTCATCTTTACAATTTCTTCTATGCAAAAACTAAAAACTAAGTTCAAAAAAAAAAACTTAAAACTTAAATCAAATAGCACAACCTAAAACGGTAAAACCAAACAGTATAAATTCTTTTTAAATTAAAAAAATAAGGCCACACATCTGTTCATAGTCTAGTCTAACATGCTCTCATCTCCTGCTTAGAATTCTAGGAATAAAGCACAAATTTTGTCGGTTAGTGAAGAAAAATATAAACACATGCTTGTGAAAGGAGGGATTACGACACGTGTGGAATAATAAACATGACTGCATCATCATCTCCGCGTTACCACGTAATCAGTCATCTACTTCAACGCGCATACTACCTGCGACCTTCTTCTAAAATTCTCATAATCGACTTCTCACACACACATATAAATACACTATCAAGCCGCCATTCTCACTATACTGTCAACTCCCAAAGTCACCTGAATATACAAACCCTAAACAAACTAATAACCAAATATACCAAATATACACACAAACACTAATTATTATCTATCTATTCATCTCTCTCTCTCTCTCTCTCTCTCTCTCTCTCTCTCTCTCTCTCTCTCTCTCTGCATTTGGTTTATATAGAGATATGGATGCATCGCCCAAGTACACAGGCGTACGGAAGAGGAAGTGGGGGAAATGGGTGGCTGAAATTCGCCTCCCAAACAGCCGCGAGAGGATCTGGCTCGGCTCCTTCGACTCCGCCGAGAAGGCGGCGCGTGCTTTCGACGCGGCTCTTTACTGCCTCCGTGGCCCCGGAGCTCGTTTCAACTTCCCTGACAATCCGCCGGAGATACCCGGCGGACGTTCTCTGACGCCGCAGCAGATTCAGGTCGTAGCTAACCGTTTCGCCTGCGAGGAACTGTTACCACCGCAACAACAACCACCGTCGCCACGTGGCGATAAGACGGAGGGAGGAGGAGGAGGAGGAGGAGGAATTTCGGCACGTGGGGAAATAAGTTGTGGTAGTGGTGGGCCGACGTTAGGACAAGTTGTGGAAGATAATAACAACAACAACGAGGATAATAGCAATAGTAATAGCAATAGCAATGATACGGCGACGTATTGGCCTTTAATGTGGGAGGAGAATCTTGTGGTTCCTACTACGTCGGATGAGTTTGGTACTTTTTTCATGGACGACGATTCGACGAATTTGTATTTCCCGTCGACACAACAACAACAACAGCAACACGAGCTCTCGTCTGATTTTTACTACGATGGAGCATCTGTTGAAGATATTGATGATTGCTCTCATTACAACATTAACCTTTGGAATTTCTGAGATCCATTTTTTTACAAGCGATCTTGGACCAATATTCCAGCATTGTTTAAGGTGAATCATTAAGCTTATACTAGCCTCTATTTACTTCGTATAGTAGTAGCTGGGAGGAATTCATCTTTTTATTTTTTTATTTATTTAAATTCTTAAACCAATTGATTCCACATGTTAATTGTATCTATGTGCTTTGTTGTACATAGTACATTACTTCCACTGTATTCTTTCTTTCTTTATTTTCTAGGATTCGCTTGCATTTTTGTAACAAGCCAATCTTGACCCCTATATATAGTTTGGTCTTAGATGGTGTTCAAAGTTTATACATAATGTTCCATGTGTATTTCTATAAATTCCCGTTTCGTTTGGGTATTGATGTTTTATAATAACGTTTATTTATGGACTTATCTGTAATATATATAAATGAATATAGTAGTAGCTCAACTAGCTCTAAGAGGCGTTGTTTTAACTAGTTCCAGAACTTATAATTTAGGTTCCACTAGAAAACAGATGATATCTACACTTTCTCGAGCCTTCACAAATATAATCAAATTGTAATTAGGGATTTAGAATGAGAATCGTTTAACTGCTAGAAGTGAGCCACTGCTTTTCCAATAGACATATTCCGAGGTGGGATCTCAATTACAAAGCAAAAGTCAATCCCTGCGCTACGAAAGGACGATGTTTATATTTTTGTATTTGTTCATTTGTTATTAATCATATTACTGTTTTTGAGTTGCAATGTCTCTGATATATTATTAGAACAAATGATATTGAAAGCAAGCAAATATCCAAGAACGCTAGTGAAATTACATATTAAAAAAATTGTGATTCCTTCAAAACGTGATAGTTTTTTTTCTCAACAATGTCAAAATGTTAACATCTAGTGCAATTAATGATTCACAACAGACGGCTAAGGAGTAAGGATCATAACCTATTTCAGTGACAAATCGCTTGCAACATCGTAGACTTGTAGTAAATAATCGTTTGCATATTTGTTTTGGTCTATAACATGCAATATGTTGACTTAACTTTAGGTGATGACACAACACCACACTATCACAAATCACCATAATATATTTCATGTGACATATAAATAATAAACATGTTTATTCTCTAGAAATGCATAAAATGATGAATAGTTTGATTTGGAACTTTTTGTTGTTGTTGTGGAAAGACATCCAACAAATACTTCGAGCGTCAAGGTTTGGTCTTGGAAAATTTTCTGGTCCCTAAACAATGAGGGAACCGGAGACCTGAAACTAATTAGAACAATGCAATATGGTTAGCATCACAACTTTACTCAAGTAATTTGTGTCAGCTGGAGTTAGATGAAAAAATCTTTACGCCAGAAGTTTATCGGCAGTAAAAAATGTAGATTTTAACTCATTTTGAAACTCATAATTATCACGTTATCCTCTAAGGTTATATGGGTCTCCATAGTCTTCACCGTATCAAAGTTCGTTGGGTTGGTTCAGGAATCAATTGTCAACTCTAAAACTGAAGAACTTAGATTGGACTTAAGATTAGCTTGAGTTCTGATTTCCGCGAGCCTATCCAAAAGACAACTCCAAGATCTTACGGGTTCTCCTTGCTTATTGAATTCTAATTGGCTTCATGTACTCTTTTTTTTGGGCATTATTAATTAGAGATGTGACTCGTACTAACATTTGTTTTTTTTTCATTTAATAGAGAACCTATAAAAAGAAGCACGTACGTGCCATAGTTAATGTGGAGATTCAAACTTATCACGGGGACCATTGTGTGATGAATTTTCTACTGCTTATTTTGCTGCCTATAAGTGATAACCATGTGAGTACGTAGTCCATGTAAAACAATATTTTGTTCATCGATAACACATTGACAGATCATGGCATCTCGTACTCGTATATTGAAGAATTAGTTCTTCATTTGCAAGACAAATACAAACAATAATTGGCATCGACGGAATATTACTAGTTTAACCTGTTTTGGCCAAATTAGAAGAAAAAACAGAACAGAATAATTACCAAAGTTTTATTGACTAGCATTTCAATTTTCAAGAAAAACTGCAAGCTAGTTACTGAGCAGAACAATATTACAGGTAAATTATATACAAATGGACTATTAAAAGCAAGCTATTGTCTCCAACGAACAAAATCTAAAAATAAACAAAAGATGATAAAGTAACAAGAACCAAACAAGGAAACAAAAATTAACAAAAAGTCAGCCTGCATTAAATATATGCAATTGTTTAATCAATAAAATTTCATACTATTAATTACCTCTTTCTCTCTATTATTACCTCTCTCTCTCGAAAAAGCTTTCTTGCTCTGTAAAAACAAATATATGGCTCCGTCCTTTCTAAGCGTCGCAAAGTTCGTCGAGGCAATATTTCGCCGGAGATTCACCTCCGCTGGTCTCTCTCTACAAACTCTATCCATAGACTCAGAAACCACCATACAGTTTTGGGGCCCACCACCGTCTCCGTCGCCGGAAAATAAACAGAAACCTTCGCTCCTACTTCTCCACGGGTTTGGCCCTTCCGCTGTATGGCAATGGAGCAGTCAGGTAAAGCCACTCTCTGCCTTATTCCGTCTCTACATCCCCGACCTCGTCTTCTTCGGCGGCTCCACCACGACCTCCTCTTCCTCCGACGAGAACCGGTCGGAGATGTTCCAGGCTTCGAGCATGGGTAAGCTGATGGAGCAACTTGGTGTCGAGAGGTTCAGTGTTGTCGGGACGAGCTACGGTGGGTTTGTGGCGTATAACATGGCGAAAATGTTTCCGGAGAAAGTGGAGAAAGTGGTTCTTGCTAGCTCCGGCGTTAATATGCGACGGAGTGATAACGAAGCGTTCATCGCGAGGGCCAAGTGCCGTGGTATCAAGGAGGTGATGCTTCCTTCCTCGGGGACGGATCTCCGGAGATTCTCTGGGGTGGTTTCTTCTAGGAGACTCGATTATGTCCCAGTTTTTGTCTTGAACGACTTTTGCCAGGTATCTTCTTAATAGTACAATTAATAATTTTGTTAAAAAAATAGTTTGTTATATAATAAACTTTCAAAATATTTGAAATCCTACAAGGCTACAGTTATTATTAGTTCAAATGCACAACTCGTAATAAATCATTTCACCTGTATTTCATAAAAGTCTCTCTCTATATCATTTTTGAGTAAACTTCTACAATTCTCTCTCCTAAATAATTAAGTAAGTTTAACTTATAGAATAATTTCAATTTTCTTATTTGAATTTCGCAAGGAAAATATATTAAGTCCTCATTTTGTTTAGAATTATAGACAAAAGAAGAAGAATATAATAGTGGTGCATAAAGATGCACTCCACTAGCTAATCTCTAAAAAGAGTGCTTAATAAAAGTAGACAAAGACAATTGTCGCTTTTAGTTGGTTATACTTAAAGCTTATATAGCTCCTAAAGAAGGAAAAACATTTCTAACTTTGATTTCAAATATAAAAAAAAATTATGTAGTTTTTGAAAGAAGAGTTTGGCTTGCATGTTTTTTTTTCTTTCTTGATAGCCATTTGAATTTGTTAAGTAATGAGATGATTTAAAAGGAAAAACAAGGGCCTAATCTAAATATCCGGATATGAAAGGTCTCCTAATTGAAAGTGGGCCAAACTTACATCAGATCACTATACTGTTTGCATTTTTTGTTTTGCATGATTGATATACAATATTTTTAAAATGGGGAAATACACAGAAAATGTATTCGGAGAAAAGAGAGGAAAAAGCAGAACTTCTGGAGGGGCTAAGTATTGGGAGGGACGACAAAATAAACGTTTCTCCAATTCAACAGGTTCGTTACTCGCTATCACCATTTTTTTTTTTGGTTTTTACTATCACTAACATCAACCTATAACTCCATAACAGATAAGGCTCCGAATGAAAAAAAAAGACGGATAGTGAATAGGAAGAAATTACAAAATAAATAATAACAATATTTTTTGGCAATGGTCTAATGCAGAATCAGTAAATAAAAATTGAAATCCATATGCTGCATATAGTTTGAGTGGATATCTTTGATGTGGTTTACATTATAAGTGACAGATTTAGAAATTTATTTAATTTTAAACATATTTTAATCCATTTAACTGATTATAATAAAATGACTGTATAAGTAAAACAAATATGAATCATGCATGCAGGATGTAATGCTGATATGGGGGGAGCAAGATCAGGTTTTTCCTTTGAAAATGGCGCATGAACTCAAAGAGTAAGACCCTTTACTAATTCTTTATCAGTTATATATCGTTTCATAATATCTAAATAAGTAATTGAACAAAGAAATTTCTCGAGTGAGTCTCCGAGTGGTTTAAGATATTGAGGTTACAACACTAAGCTTAAATAGTAGATTAAGCAAATTACAAGTGTAAGTGTTTCTAGTTCGGGTTTTGCTTTGTATATAAGAATATATGGTTATGATGTAGAACTTTGAAGTGTTTTTGCTTATTCAGACTTTAATTAAGATTTACTTCACTTTTTTACCATGCATAACTGATTTTTTTTTTTTTTGGTCAAAGCATAACTGATTCAAAGTCAACAAAACTTTGATTCTAGTTTTAGGTTTTGTTTTTATAAACTAAGTTTAGTTGGATTTTCTTTGGTTGGTTTTAATTTCTTTTTAAATATACGGAAATGGATATTACAATCGAATCGAATGTCTAACATAATCATATAATTTTCTAGTCGATTTTTTTCTATCTGAATCTTGATCTAAATAAAGTTAATCGGATAACCAAACCTATATGCTAGAGATACTAAGAGACATGATTTGAGAACTAATCTGGAAGGAAGGTAGAAATAATAAGTTATTCATATATTCGTGTGTGTTTGTTTGATAGCCTAATTTAGTAAGTATATACATATAGGTTTAAAGTAAAGAAAATGTACGTAATTATGTTTGGATATATTTTTACCAGGATGTTGGGGAAGAAGGCGACGCTGAAAGTGATACAAAAGACATCACATATTCCCCAAACGGAAAAGTCCAAAGAATTCAATGGCATTGTCATGTCTTTCTTGTTACCTTCATGTCCTTCATTATAATTGTAACATCCATGATAAACTACAACTTACTAAATTTTCTGATTTGATCAATGTTAGAAGTGTTTGTGAGGATTTTTGTTTTTAAGTGTAATCCATGTGAAAAAAAATCAATGAGGCTAGATTAATATGTGAACAACGAATCGAGATAACATCATTATTTAACCTATACCGTTCCGTTACATTGGATCAAACTTACAATAAACTGATCAACTCTCCCAAACATTAGGTTTCTTTTATAGTATAGTTCTCTACAATACTGGCATTATGGAAACCTATTGTCAAGTTTCAGTTATCATACGAACAGAAAACATCAACAATAAACTACAAGAAATGAACACAACGACCACGTTGCAGTTTTAAAATATACTCCACGTTTCTTCTCTTCATAGTAAGATCTCATTTTACCCTTTTATGATGGTTACAAAAGACAAAAAGCCTTACCCATCGATCGTGAGAATATTACACTACTGGTTCCCTGCTATGGATCACTTTTATACTTTGTGTAGCTAATGAAACGAATATGGCGATAAAACTAATATAGTCAAGTACTAACAAGCTTACTTTAGGAAAATGTCTTTAGTTAGTACCAGGTGATCCAAGTTGCCAAAGCGCCTAACTAATTAGGTAGTGAGCGCAAGTTTTTAGAAGATCACACTTGATCCAAATGGGTGTAGGACATATAAATGTCTGGATCTAGTGTCTATTGCCAATTTATAACGAAAACATTTCATAAAATATTTTTTTTTAAAAGGGTTTAAAAAATTAAACTTAGTGCTATTTTGTTATAGGATCGATAATTTATCTTGGCTCTAAAGGCTTCTAACAATATTAGACTGGCCCCGGATAGGATGGAACATTAGACACTGGAAGGCTTTTACTCAACAAAACGTACTCTTTTTTGGTTTGTTCATCCAGAAATATAATCCTTAATTAGACAGTATAAATAGCATCATAGACGGAGACTCAAGAAAATAAGGAACGAGAAAAGGCACAGTCATGAGCTTCCTTTCTCAAGCTGTTGTTGAAGATGAAGAAAATTTCTCTGATTTAGGAAAATTATAAAGGAAGGTACAGGCCAAAGCTTATACATCTCCTCGTTGAGATTTACAAAAATATTTTCTAAGAGCATCTGTAATGTAATAGACAGTTTTAATGAGATTCTGAAGAAAAATGAAAAATGAAAAAAAAAAAATGATATAGCAAGACTAAAAGATAGAATGGATTCTCTGCATAGAAGTAGAAGAAGTCTCTTATATAACGTGACGAAACATGATTTGTCATATATTATTTATTTTTATTTTTATTTTTGTAATAATAAAAATCAACTTTCTTTTTAATAATAACAAAAAATTTAAAAACTTCACATGATGGTAGCTCCCATGCTGATGCTCTAAGTTTTAGGAAACGAAGTTGGTTGTGTAAAAAGACATAATCAACCAAAGGATGTAATTTGCCGCTACTTCTTTGGGTATATAAATGCAAATAGGATATGGATTATGGATAACATAATGAATTGAGCCACGTGGAGGAAATGGAATTAACAAGTGGTTAGGCAAGGCCACATGATCGGACGGATCACACAACACGGTGGGGGCAACCACAACATTGAGTGGGGTTAAGTGGTTCGGAGACGTTAGATTGAAAATATTAATTGAAAAGGGAAAAGTGATGGAATGAGAGTGTGGTATATATAAATGAGGGCTAAAGGGGAGGACCCATGACAATGATCCTGATGAGAAGAGATCCTATGTTGATACGCGATTTAATTTGATTGAATTTCATTGCTTTACGCAACCTAACTTATCGTCTTGCTTTTGTTTTGCCAAAGTATTTTTTTTTTTTTTTGTCTTTCGTCCCCGTATATGCCCCTTTTTAGTGAAAAGGTTAAACCCACAACAAATTCAAAATTATTGGACGAACACAAATATTCAAAGCATTTGATGTCAATTTTCTTCCGATAACTTTTTTTAATGCGAGAAGTGTTTATGGTTACACTATTCTTTTACACCATATATATCGATTACCATTATATATTGTATGATAGACGATTAGATGTCCATAACCCTAATTATGATCTTTACTTATGATAAATAAACAAGCTGAAAATATTTTAAATAATTAATGGATGTTTGTATGTATATAATTATTTACACCTTTCAAGATTTCTTGTTAAAAATGTATACCTTCTAATATTTATATTGCGTTCATACGTTTAATTATCTCATATCGATCAAACTTAGATGAATTATGGAGGTGACTATATTACAATATCATATGTTTTCAAGATTCATTAGTTATCTTGTATTTGTTGTATATTTAAATTTGCAGAAGGTTTCGCCTTTAAGCAGTGTTGTGTTGTATATATATGGTTTTCGTTTGTTTTAACAAAAAAAATTAAACACTCGTTTTTTCGTCATCTGCTTGGACCGCTTCCACTCTAATCGAAGGCAATTATTTACAATTACATATAAAAGAGGAACGTGCTATAAGAGCATAAGACCTATGAAGGGAGAAGCAGCAAATTAATCAAATAGCAAGATGATAAAATGAAATCCGTTATTAAACAATTTAGACTCATATGTTCGAGTTGAACTTCACGTTTTCATCTGTATGAGATTTATACTACTTTTAAATATTTATTTTGTGTGATAATTCCACACTTACAAAACTATTAATTACTTCTTCAATCACGTTCTTTTATAAGTTTATCTTTAGAAAATTAACAGATTATTGAATTGTTTTGTTTGACATGCATGAAGAATTGTTATAAACATTATTCATGACGTTTTTTTTTACAACTATCATGACCGTTTTGTGAAACAAAATAGTTATATTTTATCACAATACTATTGAAGTATGAGAAATTGCGGTCTACTTATAAAGTAATAATGACAAAAATCTTGAAAATTTTGAACATAAATAATGAGCGAATCCAATAGAAGATAAACATTAAATCTTCTAAAAGTGGCAACTGATAAGAGGACATTTGACCATTAATTTGAAAACATCCTATTCGGCAATTCCTTTTTTCCTCGATGCTCAAGAAAAAGGTTAAACATTTTGTTTTTTTTTAAAACAAAGAATGTAAAATAAATAAAAATCCAGCGGAGGAGGAAATACTGTCGGCTGGAAAAAACTTTTTTTTTCCTCGGTTTTGTGGGTCCCTTGTCATCTGTGGATAAGCCTCACCGTTTTTCAGACAAAAAGATGACCATCTCGTCATCGCCACGTCACATTCATCTCGGTTCCTATCCAGCGGCAACGGTTAAGGAATCACCACGTGTCGAACTCCCATGGCTCTATCTTCCAGGAGCTAGGAAAATAATAATATAATAGCAATATTTGATCTACGAGGCAAGTTTTCCATATAGTCCTTACATTTCTTGAATCTCTCAGAGTCATCCCTTCACTTTTGTTGAGAAAAAACAATAGTTATAAGAAAATAACTGTTTGTGTTACCACTTGCAAAGTGAAAACTAAACTTAGAAGAAACTATCATATATTTTATAATTTTATAATTATTTTGAATTCTAAAAATGGATCGAAATTTAAACTAACTTCTAAAGTTTTGTAAAAAGTTGATGTACCACTTAAAAAATTTAAACATTTCTAGTAACCAAAAGGAAACCGCAGCGAACATTGGCCATTCGGACCAGAAGACCAAACCCATTCGAATAAGGTCACTCAAAAATAGCTAAAATGACAATATGGGGTGTTAAAATGTGAATAAGAAAGTACTGACGACCAAATCGTAAATAAATAAAATAAGGTGAAAATTGCATGCAGAGTGCGTGGATGAGGATAAGGTTAAGCAACAGTTTCTTCTGTCCCCTCTCTCCTTTCCCTAAAAACTTACTTATCCTCTCTTCTTCCTCGCTTTTTCATATTTAAAATTTAAAGATTTAACAACAACGTGATAAATAATTATTGTTTTTTGTTTTTATTATTTAATGCTTTTAGAGGATACCACCAGAGCACACAGACACAAAGGTCACATTATAAAGATCTCATCTTCTCTTCTCTTTCTTTTCGTCTCTGTCTCTCTATTGTGTTCAATTGTGAGTTTGAGAATATCAAAAGTTCCAAGATCTTCTACTAAGTTTAAATATCGATTGCGATGGATAGAGTTGAATCTTATTTGTTTAATTTCTCCAGCGATCATTTGGATCAGTCTTCTTCCGAGACTTTCTCTTCTCCTTCTTCTTCGGCGTCTTCCTCCATTGGAAGGAATAGCGACGATGACGGAAAATCGTCGGAGGACGGTGGAGATGACGCCGGAGATAGTGAAGCAGAGTCTCCGTACAAAGGTCCTCTTGATTTGATGGAATCTCTTGAAGAAGTCTTACCCGTCAGGTTGGTTGATCTCTGTTTAAAATTTCTTAATCTGATATTTTAAAAGCTCCAAATGGAGAAAATTACGGACTTAGAAACTTTCTAAATTTTTTGTGTCTGATTTGTTTTACGTCTGAATGTGGTTTGTGTAGGAAAGGGATATCGAATTATTACAATGGAAAGTCAAAGTCTTTCACGAATTTAGCAGAGGAGGCAGCGACGGCGTTGACTTCTTCTTCATCGATGAAAGATTTGGCCAAGCCGGAGAATCCTTACAGTCGTCGCCGGAGGAATCTACTCTGCCATCAGATTTGGGAGAACAGCAAGACGACTCCGCGTGGCGGGATCTCGAAGAAACACATCATGAGCTCGAGCAGGAGCGCGTTGACTCTTGCCATGGCGGTTGCAGCCGGCGTGATGACCGGAGATGGATCTTCCTCGGGATCAAGCCCAACGACCTCTAGATCTCCGCCGAGGCAGAGGCCGCATCAGATGCTTCCTCCGTTGTATCCTAGGAGTCAAGGGTCTTTTGGTAATTTGAGGTCGTCTCAGTCGTCGTCGGGTTTTTGTGCCTTGAGATCTTATTCGGTGGCTGATTTTCCGAGGTGTTTTCCGGCGACGGCGAGTGGGATGGGGTCCAATGACTCGTAGGAACGTTAACAGTTGTTGTTTTTGTTGAATTTATATTTTGAGGTTAACCCTTTTTAGTTTTTGGAGTAACATCCGGAGAATGTATAGACGAGTTTCAACCTTTTAAACGGATCCACGTCACTTTTCATCTTGTCTTCTCTCAGTTAAATCTCGCTCAAATCTTCTCATATTAAAATACTATACGAAGTGTAATAATAATTATTTATTTAATATAATATAATTTTAAAATTATATAATAAAATACAATTGATTTTAATATTAAAAAAATAATTTTTTTTATTTTATAAAATATAGAATAATTTAATTATAATATAAATTAGTTTAATAATTAAATATATATGCGTAAACTAGATAGAAATAAGAAGTCGCTCTTTATATTTTCTATAACTCATGATTGAAAATATAATCTTAAAGTTAAAAAATAAATAGAAAAAGTATATTTAGATTAAATTATTAAGTATTTAATGTATTATGATAATAATAATAAAAATTTACTATTTTCTCTATTTTATATAGATATATTTTTTAAAAGTTTTGTTTTGTTTCATAATATAGTTGTTTTCAATGGTTTTACTACTTCATATGAATATTATATGTAATCGATTATATTTTTAGTTTTTCATAATTAGTTGAATTGTATTTAATTTATATACTAAATGATTACTTTTTAAAGAAAAATTGTTTTTTAATTTTTGTGTTTTGATGCAAAACAACTCATATTTTGAAATAGTAAATATTAAAATTGTACAAATAAAATTTGATTATAAAATTTGATAATCAATTTTAATGTTTCTTATATGTATGTAAATGAATATTAATCCGCAAAAAACTATAGTCATAAGAATATTAACTTTTAAGATAACAAAATATTATGAAATTTATTTTAAATACTAAATATACATAAAGATTATATAAAAATAGATTATACATTTTTATTATTTTTAATAAATTATGAAAAATTATATATAACTGAGTTAATACTTATACATTATTAGATTTTTGATTCAATAAAATTATTTATAATATCAAAAAGTTTAATAAAATTATTATATAATATCTTTACAAAAATATTTTAATTTTTTTACCAAGTTATTTTGTTGTATAAATTAAAAATTTATGATATTTAAATTTTTAATCAAATAATATTTATAATATTATATTCTATTAACATATTTAACTATTTTTTATTGTTCAACTTTTTATTAATAATTTGTACTTATTATAAAGTTTAAATATTATATTATTTGGTTAATTTATATAGTTCTAAAACCATATGAAACCAAAAATAATTATAATAATAATATCTATTAAATTAAGTTCCTGTTTTTTTATCATTTATGTATTTTTATATTGATTTATGAATCATCTATCTACACATCCTTATTTTCAATTTTAGTATTTCAAAAATTATTTTTATTTATTAATCATTTGAGTAATTTATATTTTTTTATGAAATTCGAATTAAGTTATAACACAGAATATATATATATATATATATATTACTATATGAATGATATGATGATTTATTTTTCTACAAAAATAAAAGATAAAATATAGTATTTAAAGAAATAATTAATATGATATATTTGGTAAAAAATAGAAAAAGAGAATATCTTGATGAATCATCATCAATATAATTGATATAAAATAATGTATAACCAAATTAATGTGAGTGGCATAACATGTAATTAATCTAGTAACATAAATCTATTTTTATAACTTTCTGAAAATGATTTGTGGTGATGATACATCAGCAAAATAACACCACTGTAATATTTTATAAAATTAAGATTATTCTTTAAAAATATTTCTCTTTTAATATATAGGAGATGTTTATCTATCTGTGGGAATCCAACATTCTCTTTTCTTATTATTATCCAAGTTTCAAATGCTAAAACCATTATGAAAGATCTGTAGTTATGTATAAAATGACAAGTAGTAATAAATGGAGATCTAATTGGTAAGGTTGTATTGTATGTTTCGGTGAGAAGGTGAGGATGGGGTTTTCAGTCTGACCCACCAACGTTCTCTAAAAGTACATCTCCACGAGACGCATTTGTGTCCACTCTTCTTCTTAGGCCAAGAGTGAAAGTAATTGGTTCACCCACTGTTTCATTATTTCTTTTTCTTTTGACTAATCTATTGCCAAACCGGAAGTGGACTTTGCTGGTCGGATGTTGTAGCGACATTTCGAATAGTTCAAGTCGTTTCCGAAAATCTGGTGCAATATATGCGAAGGTTAAGAAGATGCTATGAATATGTAATCTCAATCATTAGTGTGTTTAACTCTTAACTCTATATAGTAAGCTTAAATACAAAAACTTGAATATGTCAAAGGGCAGAGAATATACAAGAACTCTAAGAGTGTTTCTGCTTCGACAGCAACACAGATGGAGCCCAACCCCCTAGCTGTGTCCACTTGTTTCAGATTTGTGGAGCTGGAGAAGTAGTGAATTTGAGACAACGAAGATCGAGCTCAATGCCATTAGTCCACCTGAAAGTAAATTACATGGTTATGATTGGATTGTGTCAATCTATAGAGTGGAAAGTGAAACAAAAAACTGTTTTGCAAGAATCAGCGACACTTACCAGACAAGGAAGGTGTCATGGCGAAATCATACTGAGGAAGCAAGACACCTGCTGCTATAGGGATCGAGATGACGTTATACGCAATTGCCCACGCCAGATTCTGATACACTTTCGACATTGTTGCTTGTGCAAGACTCAGTGCATCCACAACCTATACCAAACAAACAAAACACAAAAGAAATTCCACATGAGTGATTAAAAAACTCTCAGGTTTGGTTCTTGTTCCTTGAGAATAGTGCAAGTGGCCGAAGCATTTGATTAGTAAGATTCATGGAAAGGTTTACATGTGAGAGTTTGTTGCGGACAAGTATGACCGATGCTGCATTCGATGCAGCGTTTTCTTGTGCTTCGATCTTTAAAGCTATTCCGACATCAGCTTGAGCCAACGAGGGGGCGTCGTTTATGCCATCACCCACCTTATCAAAAGTTCAAAACACGAAATCTGCCGTTAGCCTAATCAACTCCATTATCTATAAAACACCAGATTCCATGATTTGATACATTCCAGAATTTTTCTTAGACATGACGTTGGTATGACCAGTCTCTAGCATTCAAGTGAGCACGAACCTGGAGAGATTAACTAAACAAGTTGAAAAGAAAAAAAAGCATTCTAGTAATTCAGTTGAAGCTCTTACCATAGCAACACGATGTCCAGAGGATTGAAGATTAGATATAAACTCGAATTTCTTTTCAGGAGACAAGGAATAGTTGGTTGATTCACTCTCAATCCCCACATTCTTTGCCACTGTTGCCACTGCCCCTTCCCTATCCCCTGATAAGAGGACTGTTTTGATGCCCTTCTCCTGCAGCCTTTAATAAGACAAACAACATAAAACTCAAAACTTTGCAGACCATTCGAAGATTGCTGTTTGCAATTAGGCCAAAAGGATCACTTAACTTGAACAGAGAAAAACAAGGAACAATTATATTCTGACAAGGGCTCCAAGAAAAGCAGCAAGTAATTTCATGTAAATATGCTGACTCTCAAATTTTTAAGTCGAGGAATTTACCTGGCTACAGTGAATTCAGCATCTTTGCGCAAGCAATCAGAGATTGCAATAGCACCAATAATCCCTTCTCCTTCGCGTCCAACATAAACAACGGTCTTTGAATACCTAGACGTCGATGATGTGTTTGATAGTTTATGATCCAAATAACTTTCCAGCTTAACCACGTCCGAGGAGTCGTTCTTTTTGTGGAAACGATTGGAGACCCATTCAAGTGCACCCACTGCAACCAAACGTCCATCTATTTCTGCCAGAGTACCAAAGCCTGGTTCTGTCAATTGGCCTCTTGTTTCTGGAGTTTCCAGATTCAGCGTTTCAGCCTCGTTTACAATAGCCTTTGCTATTGGGTGTGTTGCTGTCTTCTCCACCGCAGCAGCCAACCGAAGAACTTCTTGTTCTTCGTAAATTAAAGAAACAACACCAGAGACGACAGGTCTTCCTTCAGTAAGTGTCCCTGTCTGGACAGATAATGCCAACGATGATCAATGGTGTAAACAATAACTCTATTTGTTCAACTTTGAGGAGCAACAGGAACTTTTTCATATATCTATTTTATTTTCTAGCATTTTCCATCTTCATATAAGAAAGAGATAGTGGAGAGAGAGAGAGAGAGACTGGTGCAGAGGATCATAGAAGGCACAAAAAATTAGTAATACCTTGTCTAAAGCAACACAATCTATGGAGGCCAGGCGTTCTAAGACATCTCCTCCTCTGATAAGATATCCTCGCTTTGCTCCTGTACATAGGAAATTTAACCACGTCAGCTTCTAAGAGTATTAACAATCTTGAATTTATTGTTACTAATAACATACCAAGAGATGTGCCAATTAGTATGGCAGTTGGTGTTGCAAGGCCCAATGCACAGGGGCAGGAAACTACCTGGTAGACAACATAAAACGTGTCACAATCTGATTTTTTTTTCTCCAAAGTTTCTTGCTCCACTAAGTCCGACTAGTCCTTATAACAACTCATATTTTGATCTTTTCACTTGAAAGATACACTTTGCTATTCATGGTCACTCACCAAGACATCCACGGCTAGTTTTAGGCTTAGTGCCAAAGGATCTCCGTCAGGTCCAGCAATATCATTGAGTAAAACATCTGGGTATATGTGTGAACCAACGTAATACCTGAAGCATGAAAAAAAACAAGGTCTTTCACTTTGGGATCCTGAACAGGAAATTGACACATGATGCTTACTTTACGCTACAACTATGTAAACAGATTCCTGCTAAAACAAATATAAAGAATCTTAATGAAATTGCAGATGTCATTTCCGGTAGAAATATGAAAAGAGGACTATACCAGAAGGCAAACGTCACTGCAGATAAAGACATTATAGTATACACAAATGGTCCAGCTATTGCATCTGCCAGCCTCTGTACAGGAGCTGCATTACCTTGTGCATCCTCAACCTAAAAGTTCAGTATTTCGTAAGGTATTAATATTTCAAATTTTCACATAGCTTCCTCTAAATCCAAACAATCCTACAAATTGAACTCATTCACATGTTGTAGCTTAACCTGAATTCTGACAGGAAAGGATGTGGATGAAATAAAGACCAACTACAGAGGAACCGAGGTTTTGACTTAATTTCATCCGTACTTTCTTGTCTGAAATCGGGTTTAGCTACAATGTTAACTTTCATGACGATTTCATTGGCTATAGATTCAGAGACACTAACCATTCTGACGATTTTAGATATTGTTGAGTTGGAACCAGTGGAAGTAGCTTCGATCCGTAGAGGGCCATCCTGAAATAGGTAAAACAAACTATTGTTGTTCAAAAGATTCATGATATGCTATATAAAACAGACTTAGTAACTGAGATTTGTCAGTGAAACTAAACATAAATATTCCCCCCTCAGTTTTCTTTAGGGAACCGTATACATACCCAGTTTATTGTTCCAGCTGAAACTGAACAACCTTTTTCTTTAAACACGGGAAGTGACTCTCCTGTCAACATAGATTCATCCACAACACTTCTTCCAGCTAGCACACTCCCCTATGCCAAAAATTTAGTTTAACTTGTTCAAAACGACAATCAAAACTTCGTTACAGAATGATGGTTACCACCCATTTAGACATTTATTTTGTGCTAAGATCAGACAGTGCAGCATGGATAAGCAACTCAGCAAAATCGTGAGATATCAGAAAGACATAAACACCTACATCGACAGGAAAAGTTTCACCAGGCAGAACCAACAGCGAGTCTCCAACTCGAATGTCATCAACTGGGACGTTGATGCAAATTGAATCAGAGGAAAGCACAGAATCCGATGCGGTGTTATTGTCTGATGAAGTAATCACAAGTCTTGACTGAGTGGAGATGAGTGACTGCAAAAGCAAGTTTCGAGTAAAAAAAAGTCAGGAAAAGGCCTACAAGTTAATCTTGGGAGGAGAGCCGAGAAATGTCCAACTCACCAATAGTTCATTCATATCACTAGATGCCTTAAGCTTTGCTCTTTCCTCTAAAGAACGACCAAGAAGCACAAAGCCAAGCAGCATGACCTGCATACTAAATGACAAGAGCTATCAATCAGAAATTCACCACTGAAATTGTATTATGCATGCAGTAGAAGTAAAAATAAAAATAAAAAGTTTTCAACATAGTCCCTTGTAGATGAGTTAGAGAAACTCACCGGTTCCTCAAAGAACGAAGCATCCCACTCCAGTTCTGGATTAACAAGTGAGATCTGCAAAACTCAAAATGCAGAGAACCGCAACTATTCAGAATAGGATACTCATCACCAGTCAAAAACAAATCAAATCACAGAGTACAAGAACTCACCATACTGATGGAAAATGCAGCCATAGATCCCAATCCAACCAACGAGTTCATATTAGGTGATCGTTTCCCGAAAGCCTTTATGCCATCAAACAGCAATTCTACAATATACATTTATCTGTTTCAGTCATTTAGGTTTCTGGACAGCCTCAAATATCTACTACTACCGTTCTGAAACCTTAAATAGAGTTTAAACAAAAACAAACCTCTTCCTGGTCCCAACAAAGCTCCAACTGCTAAACCACCTTTCACGTAAGAGTTGTGTAGCAAGTCCCAGAATCCTCCTAGTAACATCAGGTGCAGGAGAAAGTCAGAGACTACATTTGCATTAAATTTCTATAACAAGTGACAGAAACATTCGAAACAAATGTACCATGAGCAATGTGAATCCCCAAGGAATGAAGAATATGCGAAGTGTGAGACCCGCAACACAGAGCCACCAACGTCCACGCAAATGCCACACGGTTCCTGCTCTTAACGAGCAATTCCTCTTTCTTACTCACCATCTCCTTCCACTTCTTCACGTTCTCCGCCACTCCCATCCCCGAGACTCTCCTCTTAGCCTCGAACCCACTCTCTGTCAATCTCTTAGCTAAGCTCTCAGCCGCATCCGGTATCACCTCTACCTCCGGTTTAAGCCTCACAGCCGCGGTCTCGGTCAGCATGTTAACCACGGCAGACGCGACTCGGTCATCGGACATCAGAACCGATTTAACCCGGGCGACGCAGCCGCCACACATCATCCCGCTCACATCGAGGAGAATCGGCGTGTCGCTCGCAACAGGTTTCACAGATTCGATTGAAGATTCCGCAGATTCAAACGATTGAGTACTGATCTGGACCGAGTTTGATACCAATAAGCCAGGTGTCGTCGAATAGTGCCTCCGGATACGAGAGTGGCGCTGTCTGGGAAAGCATCGCTTCGAGTATGTAACGTCGAGGAACTTACGAGGACGAATATGGAGACTCGAAGGCGGAGGAAGAGTAAGCCGGAGAAGATTGCTCGCCATATTCACCGGAAAGAGAACGATGTCAAGTGACAAATCTAGTGGTGCTATGGTTCGTTTAAAATGTATCCAAAGCGGATCGTCAGAAATTGACACGTCGGATTTTGCTTATATCCAAAAACCACAAGTGTTTATCGCTTTTTTTTTTCCTCACCACAAGTGTTTTGTAGCCGCTTTTGTGGAATTTTAAAGCCTCAGGCTGATAAAACGCTGCGTTTAGAAGGTTTTACGGCAGGCGAATAGGTAAGACCTTCTGACTTAGGAAGAGGGTTACGGCATCTGGGACACAGTGATTCAACGTGTCACTTGTCTGAAATATCAATTTTTTTGGATGTACTTTATCTTCTCAGCTTCTCTCCTTCGACGAGAACATCTCACTTCTGAGAGCTCTGCTGCAATGGATGCGAGTGCGAACGAACCAGCTATGAAAAGCTTGAAATCCTCTCCTAGAGCACCGATACCTAATTTTTTTGTATCGCTCTCGTCGGCATTTACGCAAACACCTCTTGTGCGTACGAGCAAACCCAGTTTGCTGCTTCTACCAACAGCTCCAGACTCCGTCAAGTTGATTCAAGACTTCCATCGTTCTCTGGTCTCTGCTACTGAGAAATTCACAGGGTTCTTTCATTCATTGGCCTCTAAGAACCCTCTGTTTCAGGAAGCGGCTCGCTTGTCATCCGAATTTCGCGTGCTTTGCGATGAGGTAAATTATCTTTCCCTGTTTATTCAAATCGACAAAAAATATGGGAAAACGTTTTCATGAGGAGCATGTTTTGAAGAGAAACGAGTTTGGTTGCGTCATGGGATTAAGTGAAGAAGATAATTTCATGTCTTTCCGATGAACCTAGTGAAAACTTGCCTGAGCTCTGTTTGGTACTGTAATGAGTGAATCTTTCTGATTTCTGTTCCAAACAAAAAAAAAAATTGTTCTTTTTGAACTGCCAATAACTCGAATCATTTGCCAAGACTATGGGATTGTTGTGTAGATCATTTTGCAATTATTGAACAACCTTTTCACATTGTTAGTTCTGAGTTAGATAGAATTAGTCTGTGGAAATATGTCCTCAAGTTGGGATCTTTTTGGTTCTATTCTTCACTAAATCTATGTAATGTTGAAGGAAAAGCTCGATTTCAGGATAAGTCAGGCAATGTTTTTGTGTGCCTTGCTTCTGCGTTTTTTGGTTGTTAAAAAATGATGAGCCTTTTGTTGCTTTTCAGATTCGTTTGAGAAACACAACAAGGGTGAGGTTTACGATGTCTAATCACGGATTTGCAGCGGTTCTGCCTGGAGATTCAGTTGCAGGAATGGTGGTTGCTAACGGGTTGATAAACTTTCTCAACATATATAACACCATCCTTGTTGTTCGTCTAGTACTCACCTGGTTCCCCAGTGCTCCTCCTGCCATTGTTAGCCCCCTCAGGTAAAAAAAAATCTCCTTAGTGCGATCATAAATCTTAACCATTTCTAAAAGTTTCGATCATTCAAGGGGAACAAAATCTAGATCATGTATTTCCTATTGGTCAATGCTCGAGGTAGTCTTTTTGCTTGAATTAGAGGAAGTTTCTTTAGGACCAACTCGATTCTCTCATTTCTTGTGCAACTGTTGAATGGTTTACGGATTGGTTTAAACCCTGTTGAGGAGCTGCCCAAGAACCTTACATGTCTTTTGTTGATTGCTAATTATGTGTATGTGTGACCATTGTATCAGCACTTTGTGTGATCCATACTTGAACGTATTCCGGGGATTCATACCGCCTCTTGGAGGGTTAGATTTGTCTCCCATTCTGGCGTTCCTTGTTCTCAACGCCTTCACCAGCACTGCTATGGCGCTTCCTTGCGAGCTCCCGCCAGCTGAAGGAGCGGCTTCTCCATCATCTTGTGAGACAATGTGGATGAGAAGGAGAAGGTTGAGCAGCCACAAGGACCATAGACCGAGCTCCGCTTCTACGAACTGAACCTCTCTAAAAAATCACCTCTTTTCTGCGCTTCAAATGTACCTTTCGAGTAATTTCATTCTTCTGCATCTTTGGAATTCTGAGATTCTGTGTAAATTTTCTTTAGTGAATTAATAAAAAAGAGTTACCTCTCTGATACAGAAATCCTTGTAAGATTTTGCTAAAATTTCAGGGGAAAATATAATCTTTCACTAAGGTTCTAAGCAGTGCCTTTGCATTTCAAGACGAAAACAAGAAGGATGAGAATGACGAGCAACCCACCAAATGAACCACAAAGCCTGTGAATCCAGTAAGGATCAAACCTGGTCAAGCTCTGGTCACAATACAGGGACAAAGCAATGGCCAAAACTAACAAGATGAAGAGCGTGGGAAGCCAAAACATAAACCCGAAGAGTTCTTCTTCCTCTTCTTCATCTTCCTTTGATAAGCTGTCGATAAAAAGAGGCGAGAGCACCGCTAGTACCGACAAGCTTATGGCCAGAAACTTCCTGGAAGTAAACCTGGATGATCCTGTTTCCATCGGGAAAAACCTGTAGATTCCAACAGGTAACTTCTTTACAATCCTCGCTTGGTGTTAAAAAGGAAAGAAATTCTGAAAGGAAAGGGTTTGGTTCTTGGGGAGAGAATCTCTACACAAGTTGAAGGATAGTTTTCAAAAGCAGTTTAGATAGTATTGCTTAACAATTTACAGAGAAAGAGAAGAGAGAAGAAAGCTTTGTCTGTGCATTTCCACTGGTTCAGAAGAATCTTTTGTCTTAGTGAGACCACACATAAAAAAATATTCCGTGGAATCATATGCTTTTTTTTCCTATATCTTTTTGTAATAAAGTTGAGTCCAGAGACATTGTAACGACTGTTACTTGTTTTATTTACAATGAATATGAGATTTGGTCAAACAATGAAGATAGTTAATGACTTCAGTACTATATACATCGCCAAAACGTGTCCACTCATCAGAAGAACTTGGCATCTACACTTGAGTAAGAGTCATCGAGATGAGCGAAAATTGAAGTCAATTTCAATCCAACGATGTGAACTTGTGATCTTGAAAGTTCTCTAAGGAATTCGTCCCTCACCTACAAGGATAAACAATACCGCTATTTAAGTACTTTACACAGATCCTCCCAAGGTTGAATTCATATCAACATATAAACAAAACAAATGCACAAGTGAAAGCTTTTATTAGAGGCTTCTCTAAGTATGTCATACCTGCGTCCATCCAAATAACCTCAGCGATCTAAGTAACGAGCACCAACTCAAGATCCGTCGTAGTTCTTCTTCCGTGAGTTTTCGACACCACGAGAGGTCCAAATAACGCAAACTCTGACAGTTTTTGGCAAGCGAAATGGCAGTTTCTTGACCGACCTGTTAAACACACAACTCCATTTAAACACTTTGAGAGAAACCAGCTTACAAAAGGATGAGACTTTTTGTACTAAAACACTCACATCTCGGACATTGTTTAGGCAGAGTTGGTTTAGAGAGCCACCACAGACTTCAAGAAATGCGGCAACAGCGTCATCACTGTCAAAGGGAAGCCCATAGATTTTGGTATTCAGAACAGTCAACAAAAGTGACGTAGAGAAAAACCCCAAACTGCGAGTCTTGAGCAAAACCTGAATCGGGTTTTCGTGAAGTTGACCGAGTTCAAGTATCTGCAACCATCGGCAATCTCTTTTAACGACGCATCAGTCAAATGATCCAATTCTGAGATGTCAAGAGCTTCTAGATTTGGACAACACCTCCCAACAGTCCACATAGTTCCATCATTCAAGTTGCTGATTACCCACAAAGAAAAAGGCAAAAGCATTATTAATAAGCGTCAAACTTGGAATGATCTTTATCATTTGAGGCCTCAAAAAAAGAGTAACTTACTCGCAAGAAGCCAAAGAAAGATCAGTGAGGTTGGAGCCACGGGAAGTGAAGAAGCGGACAACAACATCATGAATGCCTTCGAGTCCTGCAACCGAGAGAGAGCTCAGTTTCTCGAACTTAATTAAGCTGCTCTCGAAGACCTCAGATGGTTTGATCCCTAGGCATCCTCCAATGTTAAGCCCTCTAAGAGTTGGTCCAAAGTGATCAGCAAGAATCCTCACGGCGTGGAAAGTGAGATAAGAGCAGTACGAGAGGTTTACAACACGAAGCAGAGGAGCGGCTCTCGAGATCAAGGCTAGTCCATTGTCTGTTAAAGAGAACGCTCCTTGAAGAGATAGCGTAGTCAATGATGGAAACCCGTTTGGCGAGCGTTTCAAGAACTCGGTTATGGAGATTTCATTCACACATCGTCCACAGAGATTAAGATTTAACTCCTGAAGGAGAATTGAAAAACAAAAATTTCAAAAACCCTTAAGAACTCCAGAATTGCAAGAACAGATGGGATATTGGGAAGTTACCTGCAAGCTAACTCTATCACAGTCGCAGAGGATTTGAGCCAAGTCTTTCTCCTCTAGATCTACACAGTTCCTCACGGAAATCTCAGACGGAGAATCCTGTATCAGAAGCTGCATAAAGCGTGTGTTGACTTGGCCTAAATCACCAACCATGTTCGAGAGTTTGCTCTTCAGGTGATCAGGGACGAGGTTCAGAGACTTGATTGCATCGGAGTTCTTAGCAAGAACTCGCATGCTCAGCTCCATTAGCGTCGGAGAAGTCCTGTGTGCCGTCAGATTCAAGTCGATTCCACAGCTCGGTGTAGTAGCACCCGACACCGAATCTCTCCTCCTCCTCGCGATCGCTTTCTTAGCTTCCTTGAATCGACTTTTGCCCTGTCCCTTTTCTTCTTCGTCTTCTTCATCTTCTTCTCCTTGCTTTTGAACAATCTTGGGATTTTGCTCAGAATGCAACTTAAAAGCAAAAGTCTTCGCAACGCTCTTCGTGTATTCCCTTTGCCTCTCGGCGGACTCTGCCTTCAACCGCGTCAACCATTCCTCCTCTTCACGCGCTCGCGCCTCGTCTTGTTTCCTAATCATCTCCGCTGCATCGCAAAGCATCTTCAAACCATCTACTTCATCATCATCAGAATCTGTCTCAGAGATGAGCCAACCCCAATTCTCGATTAAACGGGCTACTGTATCATCACCAGAAACTGTCTCAGGGATGATCGCCGGATTTTCACCAGAACCAGAGGCAAAATTAAATGCAGGGACTTCTTCTTCATCATCAGAATCTGTCGCAGGGAAAGTCGCTGGATTTTCCGGGGAACCACCGGGAGAGTCGGAGGAACTCATCTTCTTGACGGATCGAATCGAGCTTGCAGAGAGGGGGTTTCGGGTTTGAAGCTGAAAGGGGGATGAATGTGAAAAAAAAAGGAAAATCAAAGAGATGTATTTATACTTTCTTGTTTCTAGATAAGCAATTTGCTCGACTCTGTGGAGCCCACACTCTAAAGTCTAAACGACTTCACCGGTCAACGTTTCCTTATTGGTTACTTCATTACTTGTAGAAAACACATGCCATGCATTAAGATGATAATAATAAGAATATAATCTTACAATTAAGATATTTAAACGTTATAAAAAGCTTGGTAAAAAATATATCGATAAATAAAGTGCATTTGAGACCACAACAAAAAAAAAAAGACAAACAAAAAATTGGAAAGATATTCAATTCTTTCTTTATAAAATATAAAAAATAGTTATGTCTCAGCTTAAGATATGCTTATATGTCAACATGGAATTCGTTTATTTTATTTATTTCTTTCTATTTTTTCAACTGAAAGTTTCTATTCAGCTCTTTTTTTTCGTCAACAGTTTTCAAGTTTTGATTACAATTTATTTGATAAAAAAAAAATATATACATATAACCATTAGCGTTTGATATGGATTTGATTCGTGTAAAACATATTTGAGCAACATTACTATAGTAGGAATTTTTAGAGACCAAAACGAATTTGAAGTTTTTCTGTTAGATAATTAACAGGCCTGGCCTGCTCCAGAACTATTGGGCTTATTATAATAGTAGGCCCATATTGACAATTTTCTATGCCAATTTTTATTTTCTGTTAAAAGAACCATTAGATCCAGAGCCCACGGGCTCGCGTTTCAAACATTACGTGGTATTGTATATTCAAGCGAATGTGGAATTCTCCAATTTAGTTATATCAATTTATAAATTATAAAAACATGGGTAAATTATGTATCTGTATAGAACACATGCATGCAGGCGAACGTGTACATAAATATGTTTTTCAAAAATATGCAAACAACCCTTTAAGAACAAGGAGCTTCATTTTACTTTGGAGAAAAAAAACATGGAGTTCCATTTTTGAAAGAAATAAAAATACTATTTATAATAAAATACGAAAATACAAAAAAACATATAATGAGGTACATGTAGACAAATGTGTAGGCCAGACTTTTTGACAATGATGACGGGGTTTTTTTGTATTTTCCTATATATTTAAAATATATGGAGTTTTGAAAAGCCAAAATAGAAAACAAAAATGCAAATTTTATACGTTTAGAATATTGTATTATATATACCAAACTAAAGTTTTTAGCATTGTTCTCATCATGAAAAGTAGAGTGTTATATCCAACACTGGCATTGTAAGACACATTTCAACGATTTCGTAACGATGTCTTTGTGTGGTTGTAAATTTGTAATGCATATTGACACTAAATTTAGAGTGTATAAAGATGTAAATTATTTTTCTGGAACAAAAATCCAGAGCAATAATTTCAAATTAAAAGAAAAACTCAAAAGTGTTTGTATTATTTTTTAAAAGATTATCTATCTAACTTTCAGAAGATACACTGGATTGAGCATGTAGTTTACTTTATTATTTGCTATACATAATTTTTTTTAAAGCAAAATTTATATCACAAGGATCCAATGTTCGTATATATGTTGTCAACTTCTACATTAAAATTTAGGGATTCTTGCAAAAATGACCTAAAATTTGATTTGAATTGCAAATCTAATCCACAAAAATCACTTTCCCAACATTTGCCATTTTATGTCCAAACAATCCTTCATAGTTTCAGTTATTCACGAAATTGTCATTATTTTTAATTAATTTCTTTTATTTTTAGAAATCTAAATGACCAACTAATCCTCATCTTCCTCACTTATTTACGAAAATACTCTGAAAGTAGACTTCTCTCGGTCCGAATGAAGTCTACTAGTCAACGCCCAGGTTAGTTTTGCAATTGACCGCATGAAAAAGTAGACTTCTTTTGGTCTGAATAAAGTCTACTCAATTTCCTTTGATAACAAAAAAAATAGAGTAGACTTCTCGAGTAGACTTCTTTAGAAGCAGGTCATTTTTGCAATTGACCAACCTTTGACTTTGTAGAGTAGACTTCTCGCAGGTCATTTTTGCAATTGACCAAAAAGTCAAATATTTTGCAATTGCAAAAATGACCTGCGAGAATTCTACTTACGAAAGTAAACTTCTCGGAGAAGTCTACTTTTCATAGAGAAGTCTACTAATATTTTGGCAATTGCAAAACTAACCTGCGAGAAGTCTACTTTTATCCGAGAAGTCTACTTTTCTTGTTTTTTTAAAAAAATCATTTTTATACAATATATAACGAATTTTTAAGATTTTCGTGATCCTAAGATTCTGTTATTAAGTTTTCTTGCTTATGTATAAGTTTTGCATGTTTATATTTTATAAGTATAGTCGAATGAGTTTTCATGTTTTATATGATACTTAGCTTATTAAGAGTAGACTTCTTAGTCTACTGTAGAAGTCTACTATGTAGACTTCATCCGACTTTCAGAGAAGTCTACTTATGCAATTTTGATGTCTAATGTGGTTTGGATTTTGTTCTTTTTTCACAGAGAATGGCTCACATACCCGCTGTTTATGGAGAATGGGTTAAGAGTGAATCAGTGTGGCAGTTCGAGGTGGATAATAGCAAAGGAGGGTGAATGTTGTTCTTAAGAGATGGTTGCACACATGGTGAGCTTCTTGGTGAATGTTGGCAAAGGAGGGTGAATAGCAAAGGAGGGCGAATGTTGTCACCTTTAAGTTATGTAAAATTAATGTTTTTAAGAAGTCTACTCGAGACAATGAGAAGTCTACTTCAGAAGTCTACTCGAGACAAGAGAAGTCTACTCGGTTGACAAGTTATATGATATAAATGAGAGAAATGTCCCTCTGAATCACTTTTAAGTTATGTAAAATTAATGTCTTTTAGAAGTCTACTCGAGACAGGAGAAGTCTACTCGAGACAAGAGAAGTCTACTCGGTTGACAAGTTATATGATATAAATGAGAGAAATGTCCCTCTGAATCACTTTTAAGTTATGTAAAATTAATGTCTTTTAGAAGTCTACTCGAGACAGGAGAAGTCTATTCGAGACAAGAGAAGTCTACTCGGTTGACAAGTTATATGATATAAATGGGAGAAATTTCCCTCTGAATCACTTAAATTAATGTCTTTAAGAAGTCTACTCGAGACAGGAGAAGTCTATTTTGTAAAATAGATAAACATAGATAATTTAGGAATTTGATACAAAACATTCAATGCAATTCAACATTACATAGAAAAGAACCCTCTAAACAAACAAACATTTAAGGATCACTAATTATAAATCTTAAAATTGGCATAAGAAATGACTAGTAAACTAAAATCTCTGAAAACTATGTATGCAACTGAAGTCTGCTTGAGAAGTCTGCTCGAGATCGAGAAGTCTACTCGAGAAGTCTGCTCGAGATCGAGAAGTCTACTCGAGAAGTTTACATTCAGATCTGCAAAAAAATCAACAAAATTCAGCTCTGCAACAATAACGAAAAAATTAGATCTAGAACAAAATCTATAAAATTTATACAACAATAAACTCAGATCTACAAATATAAACTTAGATCTACAACAATAAGCTCAAATCTAAACTAATAAGCTCGGATCTATAATAATAATCTACTATATTTATAACATTCAGATCTATACAAAAATCAACAAAATTCAGCTCTGCAATAATAACAAAAATTAACAAAATCTACAAAATTTACACAACAATAAACTCAGATCTACAAAAATAAACTTAGATCTACAACAATAAGCTCAAATCTATAATAATAATCTCAGATTTGCAATATGAACACAAAGCAAATAAGAAGAGGAACACAAAAGCTCAGATTTGCTTATCACTACCATAACCTGCAAGTGAGAGGAGGTTGAATGCAAGATAGAGAGGATGGAGAGGGTATTGATAGCAAGAGAGGAAGGAGAAGAAATTCATGGCCAGAGAGAAGGGAGAAGAGAGAGAGAGAGGCGTTTTTTAGATAGAGAGAGACTTTGTTGTTAATACAATTAGGTTAAACTCTCCTTATATATGTAGGAAAAAATTCGTGTAAGTAGACTTCTCCAAGAAGTCTACTCCAAGAAGTCTACTCGAGAAGTCTACTCGAGAAATCGAAAAGTCTACTCGAGAAGTCTCTTAGTATTAATTTTTATCCTAATTTATCTATGATGATTTAAATTGATTATTTTCTGTCAAATTTTATTTTTAATAGGTGTAAAAAGTATATATTTGTTGTTATGTATCTAATTTTTTTTATTAAATTATCTTTTATGATTTTTAAAATTAATTGTAAACATATTATTAAAGAGTAGACTTCTCTGGGATAAAATAGTAATTGAGGTTGATGTTTTTTTGTTTGGTCATAAGGGTTAAAGTTATAATTTCACTACTCCTGTGAGTTATTTTTGTCAAACATGCAATAAGGGATCTAGTTTTGCATTTTAACTCAAATTTTGAGTCATATTCAGCAATTCCCCCTAAAATATATGCTCAGCAAGTCACATGGCATTTCCCCTATCAGTAGATTTCCTCTACAAAACCAAAAGTGAAGATTTTATTGTAGATCGATATTAAGAAAATTAATTTATTTCTGTTTGCTGAGATCAACTTGGTATATAGAATTATAGTGTGGTATCAAGCTACCTATTTATATCACGTTGGTCTCTATGTAGTTTGGATTTCATAATAGAAAAAAAATCATAGGAAAGCTGCTTCATATAATTTGTTCATTTGTCTCTTTGTATATATATACAAAGTCAAGGTCGGTCGATATCCACATCTCAAATATATACATACAATTGGGTTTTTCTCAGTTTCTTATCTTTTTTCTATATTAAGTTATAAATAAGAATTGAATTTGGAAGGTAGGGACCAAGTCATATGACTTTGGATGTTTGTTAAATCCAAAATTCACTATGGCAAACAATAGTGCAAGTAGATGAAATTCCGAATCTGGACTGTTTTGAAATAATATAA